TACTTGGTTTTAAACTTTACACTTCATTGATTATTGATCATTGATCAGTACTTTCTTTGCTCATTGCAAGTGTATTGTGTATGTACATTTGTTAAATTGTAAGTTTAGCTTTCTCTGAAGTTCCTTTCTTTCCCAACACTCTCCATTCATGCTATTCTGCATGCACCATTAGTAGTCCACTAAGTATCTTATCGTTAGAGTCAGTTTGTTATATAAATTGTAAGTCCTCTTGTATTGAGTTTAACAGCACGATATGGTCGGCAGATTTTATATCATTCGTTTAAACACAACTGAACTCATCTCTCTCTTCACTAATCCTCCTGTTTTCAACGAAAGCATAAATCAAATCCATAGAAGGGAAATCATTACACAACAGGGTATAGAATATAAACAAATCTGTAATTTCACATGTTTATGTCTTTAAGAACATAGAACAAGTATATTTGCTCAGAAGATTTAAGGTACAATCTTCATTTATTTGTAGTCAGTCCATTTATACATTACATCACGAATATGGGGAATTTTTAAGAATGTTCTGTTTATTTTTTATTTACGTTTTAGACTACTAACATAGTAGTATATAATATTTTGGTTCATTTTTGAAATGAACATTCATTTCATTTTTAAATCATGATAATTTCTGATAGGAAGATGATCTATAAAGAACCATTTGGCTGGAAATTTTACCAAATCATTAGTTTGATTTTAAATGTTACATACAGTAGTCAAATATTGTTATTTTTCCCCACAATTTCATTCATCATATTCTTTGTTATTGTAAGTGTTAGGTAAGTCAGTAGGTGCGCTTGAAACTAATACGGGTTCGCCTTAGTTGATAAACGAGAACAGGACAATGAACCAGCTTCCAGGTAGGCTACCTTGATCTGAAACGACTGAAGAGAAGTCTTGACAATCGTAGAAAGTATATTCTACTAACATCCAGCAATCACAATACAATCAAGCACACAACTCTCGTTTATTTATACATCACAGAAACGTCCTTGTGACAGTCACCAAAATAGCACACTAAAACACACAGCAGCCAGTTATAATCGATGAGTCTTCTGATGGGAAATGAAATCTCAAGGTCAACTGATCAGCCCATGCTGGCAAACGTGGAATCCAAAATAGGGGCATTTATCAAACGAGTTCTGGGGATCTAACATTCCCAACAGTAACATAATCAAATTGAAAGTTTCTGAGTCAATAGCAAACTTATCAAACTTCATTCTAATATTCTTCTTTTATAGACAGTTTAATGACTTGAATATTGATATTCTGAATGATTAACTAAAGTTATTACTCTTATGCTACATTTTCAACGTACAGAACAGTTATAACGGTACACATTTTGGACAAATCTATAGATATGCAACAGGATCTCTTGTAGGTTTCATTTTGAAAGCCTCTTCTGTTGGTAACCTGGAAAATATTATTCTTGAACTAAAATTGCTAGTTTTTACTTCTGAAAGATATGCATGGATGAAATATTGATTATCTGTGATGAAAATAGTTATCTGAATAAAACTTTACTTGAGTTTAGTAAGTATTGTCAATCGATTTCACTTATATTGTTGTCAAAAATACATTACGAATCTTATGTAATTTACGATTAAGTCAAAGGAATACTTACGAACATCTTTAAAATGATAGATTTTTCAGGGGGGATTATCTTGAACTAGCAGCAGTTCACTTTGTCCTATTTTATGGCTGTGAAACATTGCCTGTAAGGAAAGGGGAACTTTAGTAGGTTATTAGTATTCGATCATAGGTGTCTTCGAAGCATTGCTCGTATATCCTGGGACCAGTAAGTTAGCAATTCTGTTGTTAGGAAAAGGGTACCAGGTAAGGATGGCGGATCAATAGATGAAGTAGTGAAACGTCATCAGCTAAGGTGGTTGAGACATGTATTACGTATGCCTAATTAACAACTGCCTCCATGAGCTATGTTTTGAAGTGTACGGGTAGGCCGGAGGAAAGCTAGGAGTGGTCAGACCAAAACATGGCAGAAATCCATGAAGTCATTGACAAGTGGACTGAGCATGTCGGTAGTTGTCAACTACCTGGTTGGGGTCCGCGAGATGATAATAATTGATGGTTAGAGACCCTGCCCGACCGTAGCTGCTACCTTGACGTGGTGGTCGGGCTTGCCTATCGTCATGACCCAACCGAGCTATACTGGCTGGAACATATGTTTCTCAAGGTTCTACCATGCCAGGCAGGTCGATTGGAGAACGATGAGACTAAAAGCAGCTGCTCAAGGTCTGAGGGCGAAGTCGTACTGCTGACTGTGATGGAGGGGTGTGACAGCAGTAAGATGTTTCCCTCAGACAACCAGCATCTGCAGCGATGCTGCCTTCTCACAAGGCAGGAAGGAAGGGTTAGAAAAGGTCGACCCTAAATATGTCACACCTCACCCTACCTCACGGATTTCCGTCTCCGGCGGTAAGGGTGCCCACTAAGGGCCTTTAAGAGCGGAGCTAATCCTCAAAAAACCCTTCATAAAAAGGCCGTGCGAGACCGGCCTCAAGCAGTTGTCCTTTGGGCTCTGTGGTCACGCACCCAGGTCTCTAAGACCAACACTAATCTATCTTCCTTTTCAGGCTCATCTAGAAACAACCTTCCATGATGTGGGCAGCCGGGAAGTGACAACTGCCCTCATACCCGTAACAGCACACAAGACCAAATCGGTCAAAATCAAATCCTTCCTACACCCCCCTAATGATCTCCTACGCATTATCTATATGTTTGAACCTGGGTCCAGGTACACAATTAAGAATTTCTACCACTAACTATGAGAATCAGGAACAATTGTATTATACACAAACTAACTACTAATACCTAAAACTGTACAATTTTTACTGCAGTAGTCACATATGAATAAGTATCGAGGTCAAATAGAATACCATGAACACAGTCAGATGTATTATAATTGGAATTCATATCAGGCACGCAATAGCAATAATGTATACGTGTTAGGATATTTATTCATCAAATATCCTAAGAGAATTATTTTTGTAAGTCTAATTCTAATGGTCGATTCCTTCTGGTCAGTATTATGATCATCCTCGCTATCAATGTCATGTACTTCAATGTTGTTTCCTATTGGTCGTCTTAACTGTCAATGTCACATAAGTCAAATGTCGGTTCCTATTCGACCTAACTGTATAAATATGCTTTATCTGTAACGTCTTATGACCCGGACCCGGGTCCCTAGTCCGGGATGCTGAATATCTTCTGGACCAGGACCTCGTACTTTCTGGATGTTTGGTGAATACATGTTCTACTTCATATCAAGTCTTCTTCTTCTAATCAATGGGGGGAGGTTGGGATACTCCGATTAGAGTAGCATATGATGTCGCCTGATCCCCGCTTTCGTTTACTGTTTAAGGTAAACACGTAATAGTTCAAGCATATCAAAATGACATGTTTACGTACATGCGTAATAATAAAGAAGTTATTATTTGATAAAAATACCATACTAACTAAACTATTTTGTCGTATCATTAAACCTTTTCAATTAGAGTTATGCAGATCAGTGTTTTTACACGAATCAATCATTGTTAAACCATCATTAGAACACTGGAAGCAGTGGACGGCCATTTCATCCTTGTATACGACTCATGAGTAGTGCGCATCCATGACTCCTGTACCTCGCAGGATTCGAACTCAGGACCTTCGGTCTTGCGTGCGAACGCTCTTATAAATAACAAATTCAAGATAGTTTCAATCAACTGCAATTGTATAAATATCAAACCACAAAGAATTATCTATGATCCAAAATGTAGTCTTCTCTTTCACTCAATAGAATAAAAATTTTTTCAATACTTTTGAGTGTCTCCACAATTTAAATTATGAATTGATCTTAATTAGACCTCACTGCATTCAAAACCAGCAAGTACTGAACAATTATTTCGCTATAATATGGGACTATGTAGTAGTGGCCAACATCTTTATCTTTTTCTTTTTAAGTTTATTTTTCACTAGATTCTACTTCTTGAATAATATCTTCGAACCCTAATCTTCTCCATTAGGTTTATTACTTCTATTATCTCTACCACTATGTGATTTGAACTGAAAATTGCGTCTCTGTGCTAATATGGTATACCAACCTGAACCGATATACTTACGTTAGAAGTTCTACGTTGCTGTTGATTGACTGATTGATTGGGTGGTCATCCACATCCTTGCGAACATGAACAGAACTCAGGAACCCTGGTCTTTTATGAGAACGTTCAACCCCCCCAAACCACTGCGCTGGCATTCAACGGGTATTGAATAAATACCCACAACAGTCAGTGTATAAGGATTGTGCAATATCTTGAATTGGTTAATATTAGAACTTAACACCGGTGAATAATAGCTAAGTGGACTAAAGGGCTTAAGCGATCTAGAGCAAGACCAAAAAGTCGTAGCTTAAATTCTTACAGGCAGGTTCGTGTATGCGCCTTGCTGGAGCATCTCATTTAGGACAAAATTCAAGATCAATTCATGATTTAAACTATGACCATTCGACAAATTCCACTAAATGCCTTGTACTTTTGGAATCCTAAACATCTATTTTATTCCAGAGGTTGCAGGCTCCAACTGCATCACGAGACAAGCCCTCACTTTGACCTCTCAAGGTCAAAGAAAAAGAGAAAGATCAAAAATGCACTACACCGAGAAATGGAGACAGACATGAGAAGAATGAACACCAATTGGACAGAACTGTAAATGGAGACCCAGAACAAAGTAGGTTAAAAAAATTACTGGTCGGTGGCCTATGCTCCATTGCGGGTAACAGACGAAAGTAGGTAAAGTAAGTAAGTAAGTATTCCGAAAAAAAGCAACCACCCAAAAAAGTAAAACAAATCAACAATGAAAAGTACTTTTTTATTAATCTATCTTCAAAATAGTAATTTTTAGAAAAAAATATATATATATATATCAAAATTATCAGTAATATAACTAAAAATTACACAAAATTTTTTTTGTTTTAATTAAATAAATACACATGTATAATGTTCAATATATGTTGATTGGTTCAATATTCAATTCATTATTCTATTTCATTCATCCAATGTGGATCAATCAGTAGCGGTTTATTTGAATTCATTGTAGATAAACAAATGTAATGATATTTTTGTTTTTTTGTCAGCTGTAATTCTAATATTTGATCTAAACAACATACGCTACCAATAAAACACACGCTGAATTTGTTTAAATCTAATTGCCATATTGTAATTTGTGTACATTTGCCTAAAACACTTGCAGAGATAATTTTACTACCATCCATTGAAACATTTAACAATGGTGGATTATCTATGGAAAAATTTAAATTTTCACTATTCTGTAAATGAATTGAATTTGTTTGTTGTTCATTGTGATTACATGGACACCAACATAGCAGACCATAATTTAAACGTGCCGCTACAATCACACAATGTTGTCCACTTATAGCTACTTGTAGTAGATCAGTTTGTTTTAATAAACGTTTACGATTCCATGTAATTAATTCTTGTTGTTGTTGTTGATTAATAAGTTGATTTTCATGAAAATTGATTAATGACCATACAGTTAAACAAGTACATTGAAATTCTTCACTAAATTCTGTATGTACTAACCAATAACCATCATGCGAAATGGCGGCAATTGATAAATTTGGCGCGGAATTTAATTTCCCGCCAGATTGTAATGTTTGGCTACTTGTAGTAGCATAAGCTTCATTTAAATTACCGACATGTTTTAATTGATCGATTAGAAATACACAGGCTAATTCTAAACCATAACTTACAATCATTATTGTTTGATTAGTATTGAATAAAAATTTTTCAATAGTCAAATTGTTTAAATTAGAATTGGATGTTTGTAAATTTTTATCAGATTCATTATTACTACTATCATTATTATCAGTAGTAGTAGTATGATAAACTGGATAAATTGTTAAATCTGGTTTCAATCTCCACATTACTTGACCGTTCAATAAACTATACGCTATAAAATGTGATCTTGTTTCATTGAAACCAAGTAAATAGTGTGTTGTTTCATTGGTTACATTCATTGTATGTATAATGGTATATTCAACTAAATTATTTGGGATAATAAATACATCAGTTAAATGTCTTAAATGATTTAATTGAAATTTTTTCGGGGTTCGATGTTCAATTTCATAAATACCCATTCTTTGATAAACTTCTCTGAGGGGGAGGAGATAAGAGAAAAAAGTTTGAGCAGTAATAATAATAATAATAATAGTAATCTTAAAGTATTTTAAAAAATTTTAATATATTTTTGGGGGCGAGTTTAGCGCGACATCCAATGGTGTTAATATCTAACTTCTATCAATCTAAGGTAATGCGCTACTGCATCCACTTGTGGTGCGTGCTACTTATAAGTAGTATATGACGCGAGTGAAAACGTAATGTCTGGCAGCAGAAGATGGGGGAAGACCGAGAGAAAGGAAGAGTGGGAACACAATGGAATTTGTATGAAACGCATGAATAGTGAAATGACAATGACAAATGACAATGGATTGATGATGGATTGAAGATTTGCAAATTAACGATTAACGATATGGTTTTCCTATTTTACTGAGTAACTCTGTAATTTTCGTAAAATACAATTCGGTTGCCCTCACGTGTGTTCTCATTCACTACACATTGACTTCGGCGGGCACTGCTTTACATCTGACAGGAGTGAACTTGATTGGTCAATAGTTCTTATTAGAATCTGGGGAAAATTTCATCAGGAAACCAGTCACTAGTTTGTTTGGTACTGTTACGCATGCACGTAAGCACGTCAATATAATATGCTTGAATTATTATTACGATTTTACCTTAGTCGGCAGACGAGAACGAGGATCGAGGATCCGGCAACACGACATGCTACTGTAATCCGAGTGTCCCAACCCCCCATTCAATGAAAGAAGAAGACTTGATATGAAGTAGAACCTGCATTCTACAAGGATCCAGAAAGTATGAAGTCCGAGTCCTGAAGAGCATAAGGATCTCGGACTAGGGATCCGAGTCCGGGTCATAAAACGTTACAGATAATGAATATTCATACATTTAGGTCGAATATGAAACAGCATCAAAGTCTGTGACATTGACAATTAGGTTGACCAATTGGAAGTAACATTTGCAGTGACATCGATAGTCAGTACGACCAATAAGCAACAACACTGGAGCAGGTGACATTGATATCTAGGATGACCAAAAAAATTGACCAGTAGGAATGAACCAATAGGAATTGACTAACAGTTCTCTTAGGATAGTGGATGAATATCCTAACAGATACAAGTTATACAGCAACACCATTGGATACCGGCCCAGTTACGTAAAAGCTAGGCGTCTACGCGTGAGATCAAAGGTCCAGAGTTTGATTTTCGAATGTACAGGTCGTAAATGAGCAAGAAGCGGCCGTCTAATGCCTGTAGGTTCCGAAAGGTAGTCTAACAATGATTGACTCTTACACATTTGAAATCAACAACCAATCGTTGTTAGACCACTATTAGATACCTGGAAGCACTGGATCGCCGTCTCCTCCTGGTATGGGACTCATCATTGGCAGTGCGCACCCACGACTCCTGCACCTCGCAGGATTCGAACCCAGGACCTTCGGTAATGTAGGCGAACGCCTAACCATCGGACCACTGAGCCGGCATCTAACGGTGTTGATGTCTCGCTTGATCAATTCACGGAGTCGCGCAACCTAATACACTGTCTTCGGTAGTAGTTACAGTCTACACACGAACAGGTTGAACTTCACTGGTCGCGTCTTCCCACTAGGACTCGGAGAAGATTCCTCACCAAGCTAGTCGTCACTAGTGAGCACAGGTAATTTGTATTACGGGGTTGTGAAGATTGTGAAGTTACACATTTTGCTGAGGAGTCCTATACGAGGACGAAACGGCCCTCTGTCAGTGCTCCTGGATTTCTAATAGTGGTCTAACATTGATCGATTCATGGTTTCAAGAATGAGTATTCACCATTGAACATTGAAAATTGAACGAGAAAAAAAAAACAGAAGCGCTTAATTTATTCATATCAAAAATTAAAAATAGACGTCTTTTCTTCTATCTTATTGTTTTTGAAACCATGAATCGATCAATGTTAGACTACCATTGAAAACCTGGAAGCACTGGACGGCCGTTTCGTCTTGGTATGGGACTACTCATCAGCAGTGCGCATCCACGATTCCTGCACCTCGCAAGGTTCGAACTCGGGACCTTCGGTATTGTGCGCGAACGCCTAACTATCGGACCACAATTTCACTATAAAACAACACCCTACAAACCATATAATGAAAACAAAACTAAGGTATTCCATACAAATCATGATGGAATGACTTTGAATAGACAATTACAATTCTAGCTAAAATACTTAAATTGTGGTCCGAGCTACTTGTAAGTAGTATATGACGTGAGTGTCAACGTAATGTCTGGTAACAGCAGAAGATGGGTGGAAGATCAAGAAAGGAAGAGTTATAAGAAAACAATGGAATTTGTATGAAACGCATGAATAGTGACAATGGATTGTTGATGTTGTTTGGCAACAGGAACAGTCCAGTTCGATAGGATGAACTGATGATATTTTGCAAATTAACGATTTACGATATGGTTTTCCAATTTTACTGAGTAACTCTGTAATTTTCGTTAAATACAATTCGGTTGCCCTCACCTGTGTTCTCGTTCATTACAGTATCAGTTCGCAGGAAATCAATAAAATTGATAGGAATTGAAATTTTACACACACGGTGTATTAGCTCTTGTCATAATGTACATATTACTTTATTGGGATTTGATCGCTGATGGGTGATGTAGATCCCTTTACCGAATAATGAAACATAGAGCAAGCCTCTTGTTTGATTAATTAGGTTACTGATGACATTGAAACTTGATCAATGATCAATAATCAACCGAACGTTTAGTGCTCACGTGATTTCATGAGTATTTTATGTTGAAATTATCTGATAGAATTTGAGTGTATGTTAATAATACTTTTGTAATCTCTCATTAGAAAGGTATTAATTCGATCAATATTTTGTTTTAAACTGTAGGCATATATATTGGCCAGAGATTATTAGCAAAAACCTACTAGGGGTGAGAACAAAGAAGATTTCAGTGGAGGGAGAAATTAGAACGAAGTGCGGGAGGTGGATAGGACATAGATTGAAAAAAGCATCCAACTGCGTCACAAGTCAAGGCATCATTTGGAACCGTTACGGTCAAAACAAAAGTGGAAGGCTAAGGAACACATTATGCCGAGAAATGGAGACAAGATATGAGAAGAATGAACAACAGTTGGAAAGAACTAGAAAGGAAGGCCTAGGTCAGAGTAAGTTGGAGAATACTGATCGTTGGTCTATGTTCCATTGGGGGGAGGACAGGAGTAATTAAGTCATCTACTACTTGATATGAACGCTAAAAGCATTAGCCGGACAAAGATTAATGGATTTAAGTT